AGTGGTAGTGGCAGTAGTAGTCGTCGTCGTCGTCTTCGTCGTAGAAGTCGTAGTAGTCGTAGTAGCCGTAGTAGTGGTAGTAGTAGTAGTAGTAGTAGTAGTAGCAGTAGTAGTAGTAGTAGTAGTAGTAGTAGCCCACCGGCATTTGCTACTCAACCTGTAGGTTGTTGTGTAGGGTAGTTCCACCGTTGGTTCGCTGGTGACTTTCCAGAGCCGTGGAGTCTATGGGGACATGTTGATGCAACAGAGATACCCGTGGATTGAAGGCTGCGCCGCAGCTGATGCAGGGCCCAGAAACTTCACCGGCAAGGTCTTCGTCACACCCACATGTTACACGATGAAATGCTAGGGTTGCTTCGGGGGTTTCAAGTTTACGGCGAAGGTGTTTCGGGGATCTGCATTGAGAAGTGCTTGTATGCAAAATATGGCTGTACATGATGTTGACGGCACGAGTCGTGGTGTATCTGAGTTTGTGCATTGTTTGCAGTTGTAGTCGTCGTCATCATTGTCGTCATCGCGGTAGCAGCAGTAGCAAGTGTAGTGCTTGGTGCGAGTGGCAGCAAGGAGGTCGTTGTTCTATGTTGGGGTGCTCAGGTCATTGACAATAATGCATTCCAGTGGTAGTTTTGGCATTTCTAGCTATCCGTCCTTGTCACCAAGACCGCAAAGAAAGGTCCCACATGACTAATCCCTTCGGCACGTCTGCGTGAGCAGGGTTAGAGCTTTGGGAGTTCAGAGGTCGAGTAGCCTCGGGGCGTATTGCAGGTTTTTGAGTTATGCAGATTTGTGAAGAAAACCGACGCCACTGTAGAAGAGTCCGGTTGTCTTCAACGACAGCCCAGACCCAGGCTATTGTCCTTCTTGCCCGCTTCTCCTTCAGCTCACGCAGCAACTGCAGTGTGGAGTTCCACTTGGCTGGAAAGGATCCGAAGACGCTGCAGATGTTGCATCTGAGAAGACATCAGGGGGTGTTGTTCGGAAAGAGGTCACTTTGGTCTTCATCCTTATACTCTTGACGAAGATCCCTTTCAGGATTGGTAACGTTGGAGTGATTGACGCCCCTGTAACCTCTATCATGCAGTGACAGGAGCCTGCTAGTAGGATCGTGTCTCCAACCCATGACGTAGCACCGATCACAGCAGACGAGGCAAGAGGTGACCCACAAGCAGCAGTTCATCCGCGAGGCCTTGACCGTGCCCTCAAGCTGCTCCTCCGAGGAAGCTGTTGCCATTGAGCTGTCTAGCGGAGAGGTGCCGCAGGAGCGAGATATGGAGTGCCCGCCTATCTCACTGAGCCATCGGGAGATTCTTTATTTGGGTGAAGCCGCCAAGATGACTCAAAGCAGACTCCAAACTCCTCGAGCACCGCCTCGCATGCAGCAGGACTTCCTGTCTCCGGTGGCCAGTCCGCCACCGGCTTTCGGTATGGAGCTGTCTAGGGACGTGCTGTCAGTACTTACCACGGAGGCGAATGTGCCCATACCATTATCCCTGGAACACGCATGGCTGCACTTACCGCCGAGCTGCCCGCGATTCCATCGCTGCACAGTGTCTGTGGACAAGCTGGGTCTGGTAGTGCAGCCTTTGTCCAAGAGCTGCAAGCGCTTCCGCGCAGCACAACGCCATGTGACCGGCCTCTACGTGCTGCCTACAGAGTCTCTGGGCTTTCCGCTGTCTGCCATCCTCAACATCGACCAGGCCGACTCTCAGACAAATGTGAACCCGGTTATAATACACAACTACGACAAACACACACCAACAAGATTCTAGCATATGAACGGACGTGAGCAGCATCAAAAAGCAAACAAAAAACCGTAGCACTTCTTACTGCTTCAACAGAATGCACATGACTGCACTCGCAGCAGCGAAACCAAGAAGGACTCTGTCGCCGCCACCACCACCACCACCACTAGCAGCAACAACAGCTACGGCGACAGCGACAGCGACAGCGACGGCACCACCACCACAACCACCACCACCGCCGCCGCCACTAGCAGCACCGGCACCACCTCCGCCACCAGCAGCAGCACCAGCAGCAACACTAGCACTGACACGGTTGTATGGTTTCTGTGTGGCTACTGGCAGAATTGGTTGTTGCTCATGGTGCTTGCTTTGTGTTGTGCACACCTGCCTAGTATCAGTGGCGCACTGAGTATTAAACTTGATGCAAATATTGCTAGTGTATACCACAGCCATATGTGTAATTCTCTAAATTAGGTTCCCCTTTTAGGTCCCCAATATAGTACGGCACCCTTATAAAAAGGAGCCTAAAAGAGATCCTTAAAAAAGAAAACTACCTATATACTTTCTGCACCTCCAGATCCGAGACAAGTTGTGCACCCCATGACGCATGGTCTGATAGTGCTACTACGACAATGATTACGATCAGTATTGTCCTGCGCCAGACATGCGCACCAGTATTCCACTATCAAGCATGTTGTTTACTACTCAGGCTGTTGATCGGAGCATGGCGAACCCTAAACCCTAAACCCTAAACCCTAAACCCTAAACCGTGTGTGTGTGTGTGTGTATTCTCGTTGGGGCCCATTGGTCCAGAATCGTCTCACGCGAAGCCCCAAGAGCCTGGAACCCTAAACCCCTAAACCCTAAGTTTCCCCTAAAACTTTAGGGTTTAGGGTTTAGGGTTTAAGCCCTAAACCCCCAAGCCTCCTGCAACACGGAGAGCAACCTGCAACCCTAAACAGAAGTCCCAGAACCCAGCTAAGCAAATCATTAAACCCTAAGACCCTTATGGTTGGGTTTAGGGTTTACGGTTTAGGTGTTTAGGGGCTGAGGTGTTTAACCCCAGATCCCTTGTACTAGCGCTTGCAGTAACCTCTAACCTCGAAGCCCTGAACCCTCAAAGGAACTCCCAAAGCCAGTTTCCCTAAACCCTAAACCCCAAACCCCTAGACCCTAAACTCCTAAACCCCTACACCCCTAAACCCTAAACCCCGAAACCCCTACACCCCTAAACCCTAAACCCTTAAAGGATCCCTAAAGATCAGGCCCCTGACTTCGCAGATTCGCTGCTCTCCATGGCTGCCGGTGCTTCGGAAGCCCCGGGTCGACCTGCCGACCCGGTTGGGGCCTGCAGCCTCAGAGGGTTTGGGGGTTTGGGTTTAGAGTTTAGGGCTTAGGGTTTAAAGTTTGGGGTTTAGGGTTTAGGGGTTCGGGGTTTAGGGTTTAAAGTTTAGGGTTCAGGGTTTAGGGGTTCGGGGTTAGGGTTTAGGGTTCAGGGTTTACGGTTCAGGGTTTAGGGTTTGGGGTTTAGAATTTAGGGTTTGTTTAGAGCTTAGGGTCTACGGTTCAGGGTTTAGGGTTTGGGGGTTAGGGGTCAGAGTTTAGGGTTTAGGTTTCAGGGTTTGGGTTTTAGGGTTTAGGGTTCAGGGTTTAGGGTTTAAAGTTTAGGGTTTAGGGTCCAGGGTTTCAGGGTTTAGGGTTTCGGGTTCAGGATTTAGGGTTTCGGGTTCAGGGTTTAGGGTTTATGGGTTTCGGGTTTAGCGTTTCGGGTTGAGGGTTTCGGGTTCAGGGTTTAGGGTTCTGGGTTTCAGGGTTTAGGGTTTCGGGTTCTCGGTTTCGGTTTCTGGGTTTAGGGTTCAGGGTTTAGGGGATCAGGGTTCCGCCCTGAGGGCTTAGGAAGCCTCGGGGGCTTTTTTAGGGGGTTATATAGGGCGCGACTAGGGTAAGGGGTTCGGGGGCTGGGGTTAATCATGGCTGAGGAATGTGGGTTTGGGGTTTAGGCTTGTTCTAATGCGCTTCTTGCGGATATCAAGGGCAGCCAAGCATGATTGTTTGGGCTCTTTTAGGCAGTTTGCTCCCTGAATATAGTATTTATACAGAGGAAGGTTCAGGGAACGGATGGAGTCGGATGAATCTTATGCAGAAAAACACCAAACGTCTTATTAAGGCTTTAGTTTGGGGGTGAGGCTTTAGGGTTGAAGTTGAAGGTCCTAGCACGGTTTAGGGTTTAGGGCTTTAGGGGTTGAGGGTTCGGGGTTACCTAGTCCTAAACCCTCAACCCCTCAGGGACTAGGGTTGATAGGTTGTGGGATTTCGGCCGAAGGAGACCACCCTGCCGTTCGATGCCTTTTTCCCAGGGAGCCTGCCCTGTCCATATGTGGATTCTGGGTTTTTTGAAATTTAGGGTTTAGGGTTTTAGAGTTTAGGGTGTAGGGTTTAGGGACTCCTCGATGTGGACGAGGCTCTCTGGAGTCGGGTTTGTCATTCTGGAAGGGTCTGAAGCCCAAGATGAGCCCAGCACACTTCGTGGGCAATGCCAGCTTGCTGTGGGTAGCTCTGGACTACGTAGATTAGTACCCCAAGCCCTAAACCCCAGCACCCTAAGCCCTAAGCCCTAAAGCCTAAGCCCTAGATCCAAAGCCGCCTGTCCCAGTCAAAAGGAGCGGCTTTGCAATCATTTCTTCGAGGTTCGTAGCTTTGCTGCTGGGCTCTATGCAACAGTTCCCAATCGTTGCTTCCGAGCCCTGGAGCCTAATGTAAGGGCCTAAATAATTACCTATATTAATTTTGGGGGGGGTTCCTTATGATAACTATGGCATACTGGGCCGCGAAACCCAAATCTAAGTATAAAGGCCCCTACGTTATCGGCTTCAGCCGGACAGGATCAAAAAAGAGTCGGTCTTCGCAGCAGAAGCTGATGCCTCATCCTTCCGTCAATCGCGATCGACTGAATGAGTAGCCCTTACTCCTAAGCCCGAAAACCCTAAATCCCCTTAATCCCGAAGCCCTTAGCCGAAGCCCTAAGCCTATCTTATAGCACCAAGCCGAAGCCCAAAGCCCTAAACCCGAAGCCCAAAGCCCTAAACCCTAAACCCGAAGCCCAAAGCCCTAAACCCTAAACCCCAAGCCCAAAGCCCTAAACCCTAAACCCGAAGCCCTGGACCGAAAGGACCGAAAGTCGAAAACCGCAGCCCTGAACCCCAAACCAACGGAAGCTTCACGGAACCGCCCGGAAACCCGGACCTTCCAAACTCCAAGGTCTTGACCTTAAATCGCATCAGGGGTCCTATTATAACAAGTTAAGGTATACATATATATATATATATATACACATTTCAATATACATATATATATATATATATATATATGTATATATATATATATATACATACACATAATATTCCTTAATCAAGGGATTTTGGAAGGTCTGGGAACATCCTCCCCAGAGGCCGGATTGCGACGGTACTACGCCCCTCTGGCGCGGCGCATCTTCCACCGGCGGATCACAAGCAAAGAGAGCCAGGAGATGTTTGGGGCGTCGGGTTTAGAGATATGGGTGCTGCAGGAAACTGGGCCACAATCAAGAGCCATAAACAGTAGAACACTTGCTGTAAGACTGCCGTGAAGTGATGGATTCAGGATTCAAGGTTTTGGGTAAGAGGTTTAGGTTTCAGGCTAAGGGAATGAGGGTTTCAAGGCTTGGGAGTTCATTGCTGGGTTTAGGTTTTAGGGTTTAGGGGTTTCGGGTTTAGGATGTCGGGTGAGAGAGGGCGGTGGACTTAGGGTTCAGTTGCAAGGGTTGATATCAGAGCTCGCGAGCGAAATCCGCAAACTCTTTTAGAATGCCGCAGTCGCGGATATCTTTTAGAAGGCGCTTGGCATGAACCCAGCCGCACGAGAATGTCCTGAAGCCCAAAGCCTTCCTTAAGGAGACTTATCCTGGCTTCATGCTAAAACTCTCTATTAAAAAGTGCTTCTGTCTCATGTTTCAACATGACTTCATCGTAGAAAAAAGCACTGTTAAAGCGAGGTGCTTCTGCCTCGCTGCTTATCAAGCCTTCATGGCAAAAACATGATTTTAAGGAAGGGTGCTTCTTTTTTTAAAATGTCATAAACCCTAAACCCTAAACCCTAAACCCAACCCGAAACCCTAAACCCTAAAAAAACCCAAATTCAAGAAGGCCAGAGATCGGCGCAGGAGGGCCAAGCACAGGGCAGCCTCCCAGATCTCGAGCAGGCGGATAGGCCACCCCCTGAGGCGCGGGAGAGGCCCAGAGTCCCTGAGGCTCCATAGTACCCATATAGTAGGGTTTAGGGTTTAGGGTTTAGGCCATATAGTCGGGTGTAGGGTTTAGGATAATAGAAACCTTGGGTCCTTATTGGGGGGTCTTTATGAGGCTCCATGGGTTCGTATGTAGTCGGGTGTAGGGTTTAGGGGTTTAGGGCTCAGGGATTAGGGGTTCAGTTTAGGGTTTAGGGTTTAGGGTTTAGGGTTTAGGGTTTAGGGTTTAGGGGTTTAGGGCTCAGGGATTAGGGGTTCAGGGGTTTAGGGTTTAGGGATTCTCCCCAATGTTACCCATATAGTCGAGCCTAAACCCTAAACCCTAAACCCTAAACCCTAAATGATTGGGGTTTAGGGATATAGGAAGCTGATCGAGAAACCTTGGGTCCTCTTTGGGGTTCTTTATGTGCATCCGAATATTTTCTGTGGGGTTATAGGACCAGGATTTCGTAATCAGGTTCCTACGTTACCCTCAGGACGTAGAGGGGTTCCTATATAGGTACTTTAGGGCCGCAGTTGGACGGTTTGAGGGTTTAGGGTTTTGGGGTTTCTGTTCAGGGCTTTGGGCTTAGGGGTGAGTTTACGGCGCAGGGCTTACCAGGACCCCCGAAGTGCACCTTTAATTGAGCCCTTATGGTCCTTAGCAATGGGATTTAGGATATGATAGAGGGTAGTTGGAGGTCTAGGTAGGGTGCAGGTTTCGGTTTCGGGTGTTGGGTTTTCGTAGTTCGTAAGAGTGCCCCCTTCTAATCCCCGTATAAGTATACAATAACATTCCGCAGAACCCTAGTGACAAACATTCAGGCTTAAACCTCAAACCCTAAACCCTAAACCCCAAACCCTAAACCTCTAAACCTCAAGCCGCATAGTAGTTCCTTTTTGGGATTCATATTTTTTAATCCTATTAGGTACTCCCAAAAAGGAACTACTATGGGGCCTATGGGTAAAGCTTAAACCCGCCAGAAGAGGCGTCGACCTTCGTAGCCGTCACCTTGCGGGCTTCCGTGGCGGGCAAGCCGGCCGGACAGGAGGGGGCTCTTGGGGTTTACTGTAGGGGTCTAGGGTTTAGGATGTTTAGGGTTTAGGATGTTTAGGGATTGGGTTTAGGATGTTTAGGGTTTAGAATGTTTAGGGATTGGGCTTAGGACGTTTAGGGTTTAGGGTTTAGGAAGTTATGACTAGAGCAACTAGCAGGGGTTCAGGGTGCGGTGTTTCGGGTTGCGGGGTTAGGCTTTATAGGATGTGGGATTGTGTTCGCGACAACCTGACACGCTAAGCTGTCAACCCGAATTGAATCTACCCTACAGAACCCTAAGGCTAGTTAAACCTACCCTAAAGAACCCAAACCATTTGAGGTCTTAGGCCTTGTCTTGTCTTTCAATGCAGTTAGGAGCGACTGCCTCCGTACATGCGGCTGCACGGTGACACGCGCGGGGACCCCTGCTTGGTATCACGAGGATCTATATAAGCTTTGTCAGTTTTCTAAATTTGGGGCTTGGGGCTTTCAGGGTTTAGGGTTTGGGGCTTCAAGTGCCTACGCGCCTAACCATTATAGATAACTCGACAGGTATCGACTGCCACCCTTAAGCTCTCAAGCATAAGGGGTTCGCTCAAAGCTTGAGAGTTTAAGGGTGGCAGTCGGTACTTTGCCCCTAAACCCTAAACCCTAAACCCTAAACCCTAAACCCTAAACCCTAAACCCTAAACCCTTACTAAGCCGAGTATCTAATGACCAGGAACGCAAGCACTTAAAGTCTAAGCCCCTGGCCCGAAAGCCCTGACGGGCCTTGTTTCGGCTCCTTGATCCAACTGAAACCCTATAGTGCTGGAGTTGTGAGCCGAGAAGAACCTGTTTTTGGGGGGGCTTAGGATTGCAGGCTTTACCCTAAACCCTAAACCCTAAACCCTAAATTTAGAACTCTAGGGATCCATGTACGGACATAGTGTATACTTTGGCCTTGAAGTAGTCCCTATATAGGTACTTCGGGCCAAAGCTATATGCTGTTTGGGCACATGGACCCTTAGGGAAACCCTAGAGGATCAAGAACCCCTTAAACCCCAAAACCCTAAACCCTAAACCCTAAACCCTAAAACCTAAAACCCTAAACCCAAAAACCCTAAACCCTTCTTTCTGCATTGGAGCCAAAGGAAAGTGATGGATGCCTAAAAGGGACGAACAGAGCCCCAAAAGGGCGTAAGGTTCATATGCGATATAGGGGTTCATAGTATAAGGGTATTCTGGCCCCTACTGTTCAGGGTCTTGTGGTCACAAATACTAACGGTTCAGGGTTTGGGGTTTAGGGTTTAGGGTTTAGGGTTTAGGGTTAATACGTGCTCTCAGGCAAGCTCACACTTTGGACCCGACCGTCGGCCAGAGTCCTTGAGGCCCAAACCGAAACCCAAGAAGGTTTAGGGTTTAGGGGTTTAGGGATTCGGGGTTTAGGGTTTATAGGGTTTAGGGGCTTAGGGGTTTAGGGTTTAGGGGTTTAGGGTTTAGGGTTTAGGGTTTAGGGTTTAGGGTTTCGAAGCTTGAACCCTCAAGGCCCTTAGCCCGCAAGCTCAGGACAACGACAGCGAACGCGCACGTACCCTAACCATGAACTGTGAAAAACTTTGAAACCCTTTAGACTCTTAGCCCTAAACTTTATAGGCAGTTCTCTAAATTAGGGTCCCTTTTAGGTTCCCGATATAGTACGGCACCCTTATTCAGAGGACCCCGAAAAGGACCTTAATTTAGAGAACTACACATATCCTTACTCATACCTAAGCCCTGTGCACTAAGCCTTGGCCCCACTCCTGCCGCTTGTTTGAGGTCCCCCCATCAAAATGTACCTGGCACTCTACAAGGAAGACGAGGCCAGTCCAGTGTCGGTTTACGGTTTAGGGTTTAGGGTTCAGGGTTTAGGGTTTAGGGTCTGGATTTGGGGCTTGAGTCGATGACAAACTCGACGGATTCGGGTGAAAGGTTTTTAAGGTCCAAGAAGGAGCCCCGATACTTCGATCCGGGCTACATCGAGATCCAAGGGTCTGCGCTAAGGCCCCCGGGAAGTCCCACATGGCAAAGTCTTTGGGCCCAAAGGCCTTACTATTCAAGCGCCCTCAGAGCCCAAGCCCCCATCCGTGACACCCCCCACAGAGCCTGGTATCATAGAGTTTGAAACCGTAGAACTCTGCATTTTCAGGCCGCAATGCACCCGGAGAAGGCTTGCTACATAGTGTCAGGCTAGAAGGCCTGTATTTTTTTATCATCTAACATAGGGGGGAATAATGTTTAGTACTCGTAGCAGTATCCCGTCATAGTCCGCATATATGGGTAGTTGTCAAAATTAGGGTCCCTTTTGGGGGTACCCTAAATAATAGGTGCCGGACTACCCAAAGGGACCATAGTTTTGACAACCACCCATATGCAGATAAGTATGCTCCGTGAGGCCCGAGCCTTCTCTGCCGTAAATGAGGCCCTTATATGGGTGGTTGTCAAAATTATGGTCCCTTTTTGGGTCCTTTGTATAATACGGCACCTAATATTTAGGGTACCTCAAAAGGGACCATAATTTTGACAACCACCCATATAGCAAGCCCTAAGCCCCAGGGTTGTGACCCAGAGCCACGAATCGGCCAACCTACGACGTTCGTTTTTTTTTTAGTTGTCGGGGTTGTGTTTAAGGCTTAAACAACACGTATGCAGGCAACATCGACCTCCCATGCACACTTTGATAAGCATACACATATGAATACTATAGGGGTCTCAACAACTAGTAATTTAATAGTAGTATTCCTGAACAAACTGATAAGCTTGCAAGATCATGTCATAGTACAGTTGTTTTTAATACAACTTTCACGACACCCCAGGGCTGTATAACAGGCTTACGGTACTATGGTTACTTTAAAGGATTACTTGGTCAGGAAACTGGCCCAACATGCGCAGGGGTGCGGGGGTTGGAGTTTCCTGCAGGCTTTGGCGCTGATCTCTTCCGTCCTGGCATTCAAGTCGTTACTGGGAATCTCAAGAATTCCCAAGTGTGAGGGAGTTTAAGGATTTGTGGGGTGCAGCTTCTTGTTTTGATGATGCTGGTCACTGTGAAATTAAATAGCGGCTGCGGTGTTGTTTCTGGGTGCAGGCTTCCATCCGCTTGTGTAGTATCGTCTGGCAGTTGTTGCTTGGCATTGAGCCGAGCTGTGACAAACAATGATCTCCCTGAAGTTCACATCATTAATGCTTTTTCGGGGTCCATGGTCTTTGAATGCGGGTTTGGGGCACTCGGCTTCCTTCTGGGGTATCTATCCGAGAGGGTCCAAATGCCAAATAGTAAATAGTAGGGTGTTGCATGTTTAGTTTTCTGCAGGGTGCTGTAACATTTCAGCCGGATGAGTTTCCAAGCTATTTCTGTTGTGTGTCTGCTGGTGTGGAATCCGCTAAAGTGTGCAGGAATTGGGGTGTGGAACCCCCTAAAGTTCCGAAAAAAAAACCATACTTGAGGGATCATAAAACTTCGTAACTAGGGCTATAAATCAGGTAACTCTAGTTGTACGCTGCTTATAACTCTGATCCAGTACTTATAACCATCGGCCCCATACTAGTTCCTTTTTGGGGTTCATATTTTTCAATCCCATTAGGTAATCCCAAGAAGGAACTACNNACTATGGGGCCTATGGGTAACCTTACTTACTAGGTCCCAAGAGCCTCCAAGCAACATGCCAAAGCGCATCCCTGGCAGGCTCGGGACTTTCGTTTAGTGTTGATAGGGTTTAGGGTTTAGGGTTTAGGGGTTTAGGGGTTTAGGGGTTTAGGGTTTAGGGTTTAGGGTTTAGGGTTTATGGTTTAGGGTTTAGTGTTGGTTGAAATGTTGCCTCAGGGAAACCCTGCAGG